TCTTTGGCAGCAGCTAGCTCCGTTAGCACGCCCATGCGCCACACACATGCTTGACAAGAGTGACCGCGCACACCATACACGTATGGACGAGGATGCAAGCGCGCCCACATAACACCGTACGCGTGCCTGAAGAACCGAGAGAACGTGCGCACACACGTCGTGAACAGAGCCACAGCACGCTCGCCGCCGTCAGTCTTCGGTATCAAATTCATGATGAACACCGCGAGAATGGGAGGAAATCTACCCATTCGCAGAACAGCACGCCAGATGCCAAACAAGGCAAGAAGAGACGAGTCAGACAGGAGCGCATGGTGACGTGGATGCATAGAGTCCAATCCAACCGACGTGCGAGCCTTGTACCTGCGACGCATATGTCTGTACTTGTCCAGAGACGGGTGAGGCAAGGATGCAAGGCCGTCAGGAGGCATCGGCGGGAAATCCAGGGCCAGGCAAGGATCATCAGGGCGCTCATCCATGGGCTCCCAGATATCATGCCAAACTCCTTCTCGCGCCTTAAGATGATGCTGCGGCGCACCGACTGGGGCGTCTGGGTTCGGGGTGGTCTTGTCGAAAGATGCCCAATCCATCGATCCCTTGACGAATCGGTGCGCAGCAGAACCGCCTTCCTGGACAGATCGGATGGCCCATGATGTCCAGGATTGATATCTCTGCGCCGACGCAGCACGTTCCAGAGCAGATGCGGACTCAGCCAAGACGCCACGCAGCCAACCGATGGAACCGAGATCCAGGGAGCAAAACCTATTGGCCTAATACCTCCACCATGACCAATCAGGGGGAGGACCTCCATCACGCGGTGAGGGACGATATCGGCGCAGGGCTTGACAGGCTCTCTGATAAGCGGGCCACAACTGCTTGTCAGCGAGATACAGAAGAGTGCCAAGACGGTTGGAAAGATACCTCCAGAGCCTGCCTTCATATGACGACACCACACCCCCAGGAAACAGTCTGGGAACCGAAATCTGGCTAGTAGAGGGGCGCTCACCCCACTTGGTGTAGTCCTGCGGATCTGGCAACTGGAATAGGGCAACCAACTCCTGAGCAGACGTCTTCAGCCAAGAAGAGGTAAGGCGATCCAGATCTTCCACAGTGTTGACTGCATCAGGGTCAGGAAAGGCATCCCAGGAAGGCGGGCAGTTCCTACACCCCACAGGCCTTATTACCGGGATATGAGGAGGACGTCGAACAACAGAGACCAAATCAGAGTGGAGATTACCACGAAGAGTGAGAGCTACAGGCTGGTGCTTGGGGATCAGGGGGGTTTCCCAGACCTCGCACTTGGCGGCAGCCGCAAGCAAGGGGTGAACCACAAAGTAGTCAATCAACGACTGGGCACCCGCGGACTCATAGGTATGGCGATCTGGCGCGACAATGACCCCACCTACGAGCGTTAAGAATTCCGTATTCTGCAAGCCCTTGGGGGACACGTTCCAGTCCCCTGATATAACGAAGGGGGTGGAGATAGTCTTCATGACTGCTGCAACCTGCATCAGAAGCTGGGCGCTGCGATCTTCAGCGCCGCCCCCTGTGCGCAGATAAACATTGGCCCAGGGGATACCTGAATCAACGACCCCATGCCATAGCTTCAGGATAAATCTCTCTGGAGGGGGCAAGACAATAATCGGATCCATGACCACTTCAGAGAAGGACCTGGCGTAGTGTGAGACAAGACCCACTCCCGAGCTCAAGCCGCCTTTCGGAGTACTGACTGAGGGGTGAAGGTGCGCACGGAATCCATGCTTATGCGCACGGTTGACAGCGAACTCGATAGCCTCTTCTGAAGGACAGAGTTCTTGAAACCCAACAGCATCAAACCGATCAAGATAAGCCTCCAGGAAAATATCGGCATTAGACCAGGAGGTAACATTCACAGTGACGATGACCCACTCCCGACGAGGCTTCTTCACGAAGGCTGTCTTGTCGGACGGGGTCTCCGATGTACTAAAGGTCTGACGGGCCCTTGGCTTTGGAGCCCTGGAGACTCTCTGCCGCTGCTGGGGTGTCGGCGGGGGCAGAGGCGGCGGCAGCCGACGGCGTACAACTGCCTGACTGTCCCGATGGATCAACAACGACATCAGGGGCGCGCGCAGGACGTTTCGGCGCAGGAGGCAATGAGGAAGAAGAGCGGGGAGGGACCCTGGCAACACGTGTTGGGACCCCTTGCTGGTCGACAGACATCCTGGGCTCCTCCGACTGGGACCGAGGTTCGCTGGCAACAACAACAGGAGAATAACCAGACATAACGATACCCTGAAGGTCACGTAACGCCTGAGCAAGCTTCTTGTCTCTCTGAACTGCCTGGGAAGCTGCGAAGACGTCCGCAACGGCTGACAGATCTGGGGGTGTGTCACCCTCGGGAACTGGCTCACTCGAAGGGAGATCCTGCAACTTAGACTGCCACATAGCCATATCCTGGGCGACACGCTCCTGACGGGCACAGAGGGCATCCCTCTGAAGGTCCAGAATCTTGCGGTCGAACTCACGAATCTGACTAGAGATATTGTCAAACTTCTTACTGGCCCAATGGTGACGCTGCTTATAGAATGCACGCTTCTGGGGAACCGTAAGCATGTCAGACTTCTGTGCACGAAGATGCTGCAACTCATCCTGGACACCCAAGACCTGATCCCGAACGTACTTGGTTGGCGGAAGCAAGCGAAGGGACTCCAATTGGCCCTGCAAGGCCTTGATAATCTGATCAATCTGCGCAACCGAGAGCTCATTGCCACTGGTGTCGACACAGCCGCCATCAGCATCAATGTCGTCGTCAACATAATCAGCCCAAAAACCACGATCACTGCCAAAACCGTCGTCGCCAGAATCATCACCGAATCTATCCTGCACCTCCTCTTCCAATGGAGCCTGGAGACGTTCATCCAAAGACCGAACTGGGGGAGTGGCAGTACCGTCACACGCATGACGGTCATGAGCACGAGCACGGGGAGGAGACAAGACACGATCACCGCCACTGCCTTTGCTCCTGCCTTTGCCGTCTTTGTCGCCTTTGCGACCATACTTTCCTGGACCCTGTCCTCTGGAGCGGCCAGGAAAAGGGGTGTTACAGAACTTGCACTTCTGGCGGGGGTTGGTGTCGGGGATCCAAGAAGTCTTGCCAGCATCGCGACAGACGAGACAGACCAGATATCCCATGACTCGCGCGCGCGCGAGACTCGACGGTCCGACAGGCACTCTCTTGAGGCGCCTGCACAGGGAGCGGGCAGCCTCAAGAGCAGGATCACACGCCGAAAACGTCCGAGCCTGCCGCACGGCTGCGGACAAGCTCGAAGCCTCGCGGCAAGGTTTCGAACTTGAGCCAAAATGGCTACGGACCCCAAGAGAGAGGCGGAGGAGGAGGAGGAGGAGGAGAAGGAGGAGGAGGAGGAGGGGGAGGAAGAGGAGGGGGAGGAGGAGGAGGAGGAGGAGGAGGAGGAGGAGGAGATTGGTACGAGCTGAAATGAACGCTGTGAAGGAGGAGGAGGAGGAACAGGGGGAGGAGGAGGAGAGGAGGAGGAGGAGGAGGAGGAGGAGGAGGAGGAGGAGCGCCCCAGCGAACGGCGACGCCCTGCCCGCAGCCGGCGCCCATGCGCTGCCGCCCCGCCGCGGAGCGCGCCCGCGGCCGCTGCTGGGCGCGGCCGGGCGGCCGTCGCTCCCGAGGCTGCGCGCGCCCCTCCGCGCGGGGGGGGGCGGCCCGCCAGCGAGGCGCGGGCGGGCGCCCCTCATATGAGGGGGCCCACAAACACTCAAAGAAATAGACACAAATCCCAAGAATCTCCCTGTTTCCACCTATCTCCGGGGTGTCTGTCTTCCCCCCCCCACTTCCCACATTTTCGCGTGTTTTCCGGGGAATCGACGACTCATTGTGTCTGTGTTTTTTCCCTCCTGACTATAGATTGCCCAGCGGCGGCCCGCCAGAGGCCCCCCCGCGGGGGAGGGCGGGTCCGCCGGGGCGGGCGGTGCGCGTCGCTCACGGCGGTGGCCCCCTCGGGCCGTCGAGACTTAGGCTAGGAAGCTCACTCTCAAGCTGCCCTGCCTGGCTCGTCCCCACGGCCTGCACGAGCTGTATTACCTAAGGTGAGCCCACGCACGCGGCCGCCTGTTCCAGGGTCCGCCAGGGTGGGGGCGGCCGTCCAGAGAGGGCGCCACCGCGGCGCCGCGGGGGAGGAGTGCGCTGGAGGCCCGCGTGGCGGGCACTGGCTTCGGCTCTCGTCCTGGGGGGGGGGCCTCGCTCTCGCGGCGGGTCTCGTGCGAGCCTCCTCCTGTGCACGTCTGCGTATGCTGTGTCTTCGGACATGTTCCGCGTCAAGCTGTTGAGTACAATGTAGTGCTTGCCGAAGAAAAATGTTTCTCCTCCTCCTCCTCGTCCTCTTCCTCCTTCTCCTCCTCCTCCAGATCTGATGATTCATCATTATGCTCCTTGGTATCCTCTTCCTACTCCTCTTCCTCCTGCTCTGCTGGCTCCCCCTGCTCCTGTATCATCTGCATCGTCAGCACGATCCTCCTCCTCATCATCATCACCAGCATCATCAGCATCATCAACATCATCAACATCATCATCAACAGCATCAGCATCATCATCCATCATCATCATCATCATCATCATCAACAACAACATCATCATCATCATCATCATCATCATCATCAGCAGCAGCAGCATCAGCATCCACATCCTCATCCCCATCCTCATCCTCATCCTCGTCCTCAGATTCGTCCTCGTGCTCATCCTCCTCTCTCTCTCTATCACAAAGTTGCTGCTCGGCACAACCCTGGCATCATGCTCGGTGCGAGTCACTCGTGCAACAGAACAGCTGTCCGTGGCGGAGATGCCCCCCCCCTCGCCTCCTGTCGTCGAGGTCGCGGCAATGACACTCCCAAGACGCTTCCTCGTCTTCATCCTCTTCGTGCAAATCGTGGCTACGACATCCCAACAAGGCACCATCCGCTTCCCCCTGCAGGTCGCGGCGAGGACAAGTTCCCCCACACGCCTCCGCCTCGTCCAGATCGTCCTCGTTGAATTGCTCCAGGTTTCCGCGTCCCTTGAACGTTATCCTGGCGGGGCCAGCGCTGCCGTCTGGTCTCATACTCCTCCTCATTCCCTTACTCGTGCGCAACACCGCCATCACCCTTGTCCTTTGAGTCATCCCCATCGCTGTCCTTATCATTGTCCGCCTCTGTGACCATATTCCATCGTCCTTCAAGACGACTGCCCGTGCAGTGCTCCGCTAATCCACATCATTGTCATACTCAGAACTGCTTAATCTGTTCTCCCTGAGAAACGAAGGCTGTGAGGGGTCCCAATCATCATCGTCATCATCATCATCATCATCATCATCATTATCATCATCATCAGCATCATCATCATCAGCATCATCAGCATCAGCAACAGCAACATCATCAGCATCATCAGCATCATCAGCAAATTCATCATCATCATCATCATCATCATCGTCATCATCATCATTACCATCACCACAACCACCATCATCGTCATCACCATCAACATCACCATCAACATCACCATACACATCACCATCATCAGCATAATCAACATCGTCGTCACCATCATCAGCAGCATCATCAGCATCATCATCATCGCCATCATCCTCAACATCATCGCCATCATCATCAACATCAACATCATCATCACAACGGTCCTGGCACCCAAATATCAAAAGGGTGCCTCCGATAACGTGCCGTGCCGTGCCTGGCTTCCAGAACTCGAAGAAGACGGCGCCCGTGGCCGTGCCGTGGCGCGCCCTGCCATGCCGTGCCCGCGTGCGGTGCCGTGCCGCGTCTGGTCTGCAGGATGCGAGGCAGGTGCCGCGCATCACCAAGCCGTGGCCCGCCAGGCGCTGTCCATACAGCAGGTCCAGACGCTGGCCATACAGCGGCCTCCGCCTCAACAAGGGCTCCCAACTTCGCGCTTCGCGCTGCGCGAAGCGCGAAGCGCGAATAACTTCGCGCTCTCGCGCCGCCCCCCCAAGGGGGAGAAGAGGAGGACGAGGAGGAGGGGGAGGAGGAACGAGGACCGCGAAGCGCGAAGCGCGAATAACTTCGCGCCCTCGGGGGAGCCCTTGTTGAACACGTCGGAGGCGACAGAAGCGAGGACAGCGGCAGAAGGATGGACCTCGGGCCGGGGTGGGCAAGCACTTATAGCAGCGGGCTCGAAGTTGGCCTTGGTTGTGGCACGTTGCGAGCCGTCCCCCTCGTCCTCACCCTTGTGTCCTTCATCCTCAACCCTCCTCCTCCCCCACCAAATCCTTAACCTACTCCCCCTGCTCCCTTTACACGAATGTGCGCGTGCCGAGCCTTTTCCGCCCTTGTGCACATCACACCACGGACTAATTCCTGACGTGCGCGAAACTACGCCATACTGCGATGGGCTCAGGCGTTGCAGAACAGCCCCATGCATAAACATAAACGTTCCGACGGTCTGCGCGGACTTCTTGGATCGGCACTGGACACCCGTCGCTGGCACGCGGAGCGCGCCGGCGGTGGCGCCAGAGGCGCCGCCAGGGGCGCTTCGATCCAAGAAACCCGCGCGGAGCTACAACATGTTATGTTTATGCAATTCTTTGTTTCGCCTGCAGAAGGTACACGCCTCCTTACGTATATCTGCTGCCAACCGAAGAGGCTCCAAAGAATGCATCAGCTGCCCAGCCTGGGCGGCATGCTCCTCTTCGGCGATCTTCTGACCCGGGTCAACCCAGACCTGGGTCAGTCAGGACCTGCAGAATCCTGCAAGATCCTGCACCCAAACCCGGGTCAACGCGAAGGATCCTGCAAGATCCTGCAGGATCCTGCGCCCAAACCGGGGTCAGTGCGACCCTGGCCCTGCAGGATCCTGCAAGATCCGTTTGCATCAACCCCCGTCCCTTGAGCCCCGAGCTCCTCCGCAGCTGCGCGTCGCACCGGCTGCCGTCGTCCCCTTTGCACGGTACGCCTCGGCCCTCGCCGCGCCAAGACGGGCACGCCTTCGGTGCCACAGTCTCTCCACGCGCAGGAGGTCGCCAGCTACGCACCTACACAGATCCTGGCAAGGCCAATCCTGGGCCCAGGATTTTGGGTTAATCCAAAGGGGGTCCAGCTGAAAGGGGGTGGTGCAATACATTTGGGGCAAATGGATTGCAAATGTACTGCGCCGGAGAATTGCATCGCATTGTGTTGCAAGTAATGTTTCGCACGCGAAATTACAACAATACACTTGCGCCCCGAAATGTACTGCACGCCCCAAATGTATTGCAACCCCACAAATCTATTGCACCAAATCTATTGCACCACCCCCTTGTCGCTGGACCCCATTTTGGGTCAACCCGAAGGATCCCGCGCGAAAGGCGCGACTAGGGGGAAGCCCAGGGCACCCTGAACGCAGCAGCTTCTTAAAGGCCGCGGGAAATCACCGCGAAGCGCGCGGATCGAAGAAACCCAGGATACCGTGGCGACAAGCATTTGGCTTCTTGATGCGCGCCCCCACTGCGTGGCTGACGCCCGCGAACGCGACACGTTTGGGCCACCTGCTACATACGAATGTCGAAGCCTGGCCAGCCCGTCTCTGAAGGGGCCCTGGGGCACACAAATACATACACACAAGTAACAGGATTCCCCATATTTCCCCATAGCTTCTGGGTTTTTGTCTTCCCCCCCGCGTCCCACATCTTCCCCCATTTTCCTGGGAATCGACGATTCATTGTGTCCGTGTGTTCCGTTGCCTCCTGAGTCTCGTAGAGGACCGCCTCCCCTCCCGCGGGCGGGGCGCGCCCGAGAAACCCCAGGCCCCGCCCTCGGGGACGGGGTCGCACCCGCGCGCGCCCGGCGCAGCGGGAGCACGTCCGACGCACACGGTCGCGCCGCCGTCGTCAGCTTCGAGCCGGGTCGCCGCCGGCTCCGCTGCACGTCGGGTGCAGGCACCTCGCTCCACCCCCGTAATGCTCCTGCTCCTGCTCCTCCTCCTCCTCCTCCTCCTCCTCCTCCTCCACCTCCTTCTTTTGACGTTGCGCAGCCATTCATCGGAGATCGTTGCGCTATCTCCTCCTCCTCCTCCTCCTCCTCCTCCTCCTCCTCCTCCTCCTCCTCCTCCTCCTTCTCCTTCTCCTCCTCCTCCTTCCCCTCGTCTTCCTTCTCCTCCTCCTCCTCCTCCTCCTCACCGCACGCGCGCGGGAAGTAGGGCGGAGGGGAAGGAGGGAGGGAGGGAGGAGAGAGAAGCTCCCCGTCGTCGTCGTCGTGGTCGTCGTAATCATGATGATGATCAGAATCATGATCATCATCATCATCATCATCATCAGCATCATCATCATCATCATCAGCAGCATCGTCACCATCATCATCATCATCATCATCATCATCATCATCATCATCATCATCATCAGCATCAGCATCAGCATCAGCATCAGCATCATCACCATCATCATCAGCATCATAACAATCATCATCATGTTCGTCACCATCACCATCATCAGCATCATCATGATCACCACCACGTCCATCATCATCATCAACATCATCAGCATCATGAGCATCCTTATGGGATTCATCATCATCACCATCATCATCATCATCCTCGTCAGCATCAGCATCATCACCACCAGCATCACCATCACCATCACCATCATCATCAGGATCATCATCATCAATATCGTCACCATCACCCTTTTCATCATCATCAGCAGCATCGTCATCATCAGCATCATCGTTCCCATGTGCATCAGCAACATCATAATCATAATAGAGGAACTGCTAGAAATAACAATCATAATACATAAGTGATATTGCTAATAATAGTCATCGTAATAATGGCCATCAGCATCACCAACCTCATCAACACCATCATCAGCATCATCGTCGTCATCGTCCGCAGCATCATCATCGTCGTCATCATCATCACCACCATCATTCTGACCTCACAACCAATCATCACCACCAACAACGACACCGTCGTACCATCATCGTACCATCATCATCGTCACCACCACCATCAACAAAAAAAACCATCGTCATCATCATCATCAGAATCGGAATCGGAATCATCACCATCCTGCCCATCATCATCGCAATCTTCATCCTCAGCGACAGCAACATCATCATCATTCTTCATCCGTACTCCCCCGTCCAAATCTCCTGTCCGCTTCTCCCTCCTACGCCACCTCCTTCTCCTCATCTTCCTCCTGGTCCTCCTCCTCATCCTCCATATCTTAGTCACCATCATCATCGTCACCACCATGACCTTCAGGCATCATCCATCATCCACCACCCATCATCCATCACCCACCACCTGTCATGAGTTACCCAACGCCCACCACCCATCATCGTTACCATCATCATCATCACCATCAGTAGTATGACCATCACCATCACCACAATCATGATCGTCACTTTCATCTTCGTCGTCGTCGCCATCATCATCATCATCATCATCCTCATCATCACCACCATCATCATCATCATCATCATCATCATCATCGTCATCGTCATCACCATCATCATTATCATCACCACCATCATCAGCAGCGGCATCTTCATTGTCATCACCACCACCACCACCACGGCCGGGAGTATCACCCTCGTAATACGTCAATACCAGACTCAGCACCATCCTCAGTATAATCAGCATCAGCATCATCAGCATGATCGGGATCATAATCAGCATCATCAGAATCATTATGAGCGTCACCATCAGCATCAGCATCATCATTGACGTCTGCGCCCACCTCATCACCATTATCATAATCAGAATCAATCTCCTCATCCGCATTTCCCGCCTCATCGTCAGCAACATCATCATCATCATCATCATCATCATCATCATCAGCAGCATCATCACTATCACCAGTCTCAGTCGCGGCATTCGCATCTTCCGCATTATCATCATCATCATCCCTATCCTCATTATTCTCGTCCTACTCTCTCGCTCCTCTGTCGCTCCTCCCTCGCTCCTGTCTCGCTCCTCCATCCCTCACTCCTCCAGTTCCCCCGTCCACATCCTTCTCCTCCTGCTCCTGGTCCCTCGCTCCTCCTCCTCCTCCTCCTCCTCCTCCTGCTCCACATCCTCCTCCCCTTCCTGCTCCCCCTTCCTCATCCTCATCAGCATTTTCACCATCCGCGTACTAATCCTGCTCCGCATCATCTCATCTGCCGCATCCTCCTCCGCCTCACCCTCATCCTCCTGTTCCTCCCTGTCCTCCTCACCGACAGCACATCATCATCAACAGCAGCATCAGCATCAGCATCAGCATCAGCATCAGCATCAGCATCAGCATCAGCATCAGCATCATCATCATCATCATCATCATCATCATCATCAGCATCATCATCATCACAATCGTCGTCGTCGTCCTCGTCGTCATCGTCATCGTCATCGTCATCATCGGCATCATCATCAGCAGCAGCAGCCTACTCAGTCCCGTCCTCCCCCTAGCATGCCTCTACTCTTGGTCCTCTTCATCCTTCTCCGCATCCTCTGCCGCATCCACCTCCTGCTGATCATCATACGCCATGCACCCTCATCACAAAAAGCATCCGTACCACCACCACCTTCAACAACGGCAAGGAATGACCACAACGGCAGGACGACGAGATCCTCATCAACACCATCGTCATCGTCGTCATCCGGGTCGTCATCATTATCAGCATCCGCGTGATATTCGTCGTTGCCGTTGCTAGCATCAGAATCGCCCTGGTAATCGTCATCCTCGTCCTCATCATCATTGGTAGCATTAGCATTGCCATCATGAACAACGCCAGCATCATCCTCATCATCTGCATCATCGCGATCATCGACATCAACGCCCACGTCGTCATAGCAATCGCCTCTGCACTCCTGATCAACACCCTCATCATCAACATCATTAGCATCGTGATTGTCGCAATCACCGCCAGCGAATAAAAACCAACATAACTATGACCAGTATCATCACCACCCTTATCATCATCAGCAGAAACACCAGCATCGACATCATCAACATCATCAGTATTATGTTCAGCATGCTGATCATTTCCGTTCGCATGACCATCGACATCGTCTTAACAGTCCTCATCGGCATCCGAATCATCATCATCATCATCAGCATCATCATCATCATCATCATCATCCTCATCCTCATCATCATCCTCATCAGCATCAGCATCAGCATCATCGTCATCGGCAGCCGCAGCAAAAGCAGCAGCAGCAATCATCATCCTACTCGCCACCATCAGCATCAGCATCATTATCATCATCAGCATCATCATTACCATCTGTAGCATCAGCATCAGCATCAGCATCAGCATTAGCAGCAGCAGCAGCATCAGCAGCAACATCATCATCAGCATCATCATTATCAGTATCATTATCAGTATCATCATCATCGGGATCAGCAGCAGCAGTATTCATCATCATACTCGCCACCATCAGCATCAGCATCAGCATCAACATCATCAGCAGCAGCAGCAGCACCAGCATCAGCACCAGCATCAGCATCATCATCATCATCATCAGCATCATCATCATAATCATCACCATCATCATCATCATCATCATCATCATCATCATCATCATCATCATCACCATCACCATCACCATCACCATCACCATCACCATCACCATCACCATCATCATCATCATCATCATCATCATCATCATCATCATCACCAGCATCACTCTTCCTGCTCCTCCTCCTCCTCCTCGTTATCCTCCTCTTCATCCTCCTTCATCTCCTCCCTCCTCCCCCACCACCTCCCTCCTCCAACCTCCTCATCCTCCCCCCCTCCTCCTCCTCCTCCTCCTCCTCCTCCTCCTCATCATCATCATTATCATAATCACATGTATAATCGTCGTCATCCTCAGCATCATCGTGGTCAGCATCACCATCATCATCAGCATCATCAGCATCAGCATCAGCATCAGCATCAGCATTATCATTATCATCATCATCATCATCATCATCATCATCATCATCATCAGCAGCAGCAGCAGCAGCATCATCATCATCATCATCATCATCATCATCATCATCATCATCATCATCATCATCATCATCATCATCATCATCATCATCATCATCATCATCATCAATCCTCCTCCTACCTCTCCTCCTCCTCCTCCTCCGCCTCCTCCTCCTCCTGCGCCTCCGCCTCCTCCTCCTCCTCCCCTTCCTCCTCCTCCTACTCCTCCTCCTCCTCCTCCTCACCCCACGCGCGCGGGAGGTGGAGCGGGGGGAAGGAGGGAGGGAGGGATGAGGGAGGAGAGAGGAGCCCTCCTTCCCCTGGCCAGGGGGCGCGGCGCACTTCGAAGGCTCCGGGTCGATGGACCAGCGGACCCTGGGCTTCACCCGCCTGGCGACCGCGTGCTCCACGCCGGAAGAGCGCAAGGGCGCCAGCTGGGTGCCCCCGCCAACGAAGGCGTAGCTGGCCTGCCGCTGGAGGTAGACATTGAGGAGGAGCAGGAGGAGGAGGAGGAGGAGGAGGAGGAGAAAGACGAAGACGGCGACGACGACGACGACGACGAAAACGACGACAAAGACGAATGACGAGGGCCCTGCTCCTCCTCCACCTCCCTCGTCCTCCCATCTCTCCCCCCCCTCTGTCCTCCCACTCCCCCTCCACCTCCCCCTCCATCTCCTCCTCCTCATCCGCCTCCTCCTCCTCCTTTCCCGTTTGCCCCGGGCCGCCCGCCTGGCCGGGCCGCTCGGCGCAGGCACTAAAGCATCGCGGGCGGGCAGCCTAGCAGTCCCCGACCCTCAGTTCGCCCCCCCCCCCATGGCCAAGAGCCATCCGGCGAGCCGTAAACGCTACACAAGAAAAGGCCTAGCCACGTGGTCCCGGGAGGGGGCCCCCAGGGGTGCTGCGCGTGGAGGCGCTGTTCGGTGGGGCGGAGCACAAGCACTCCGCGAGCGCGACGTGGGCTCCGGGCCAGCCAGGGCAGCCGGGGCCCACAGGGAAGAGGAAGGGCACAAGGGGGGGGGGGGGGCGTCGCGGCGGCGGCCACGGCGAAACGCTGCGCATGCCTGGCGAGCGGATGGCGTGTCGCTTTGCCCTGCGGGGCGGGAGGCTGGAAAGAACGGCTCGGAGCGCTGAAGCCTATAGCGGCCAGGGCTGGGAGATGGACGGCGCGTCGCGCCGAGGAGTGGTGGGCCAGAGCCGGCCGGCGCGGCACGCGGAACCAGGGTCCCCGACCGCAGAGCGAGGGGGGGGAAGGCGGGGGCGAGGGCGGGGAGGGCAGCGCACGAGGCAGGGCAAGGGCTCAGGGCAGCGGGGGGCGGGGGGGGGAGGGAGGGGGCAGAGGGCGGCCTGCAGGAGCGCCACGGCGAAGGCCGCCGCGAGCAGCACGGCGCTCAGCAGGCCCCGCCTGCGGCCCATCCTGGGCGGGGGGGCTGGGGCTGAGGTTGGGGCTCGGGCTCGGGCTCGGGGGAGGGGGGGGGGGCGCTCTGCACCGCGGCGGGCGCGCTGCCGCCCGCAGCGCGATGTGGGGGCTCGGCCAACCGTCGTCGTCGCCGCCGTCGGCGACGACATGTTTCTCCTCCACCCTCCCTCCCCATCCCCCATGTGACGATGGCCTCCAAGTCATCCTGCCGCGGCCTTCCTTCCTCCTCCTCCTCCTCCTCCTCCTCCTCATCATCATCATCAGCATCATCATCATCATCATCATCACCATCATCATCATCAGCATCATCATCATCAGCATCAGCATCAGCATCAGCATCATCATCGTCATCATCATCATCGTCATCAGCATCAGCATCAGCATCATCATCATCATCATCATCATCATCATCATCATCATCATCATCATCATCATCATCCTCATCCTCATCCTCATCCTCATCCTCATCCTCATCATCATCCTCTTCCTCTTCCTCTTCCTCCTCCTCCTCCTCCTCCTCCTCTTCCTCCTCCTACTCATCGCTCCCCTCATCCCTCCGTCCTCCCGCTTCTATGACCATTTGGGATCAAGGCTCCGTGCGCGATCGGCCCGCCATTTCTCACTGGCATCGGTCCGCACTCGCCCAGGGGCCCATACGCGCTGCCCGCGCCGGCTGGGACTCGGCAGGAGTTGGTGGCCGCGCGTGGCGAGCACTCTCAGGCCAGCGCTGTCGCAGCTGCCAACCGAGGCCAGATCTCCGCGCGGCTGCGCGGAGGCTCGGCCATGCGGCCAGGGTCGACTGTCGGCCACAGATGGGCTGCGAGGCCGCCCTGGCTCAAGCCTGCGGCCCCGCCCGCCGTGGCTGTCTTCCGCTCCTGGATGCCCCTCCTATCCGTGTGTGCCGTGATCACTTTTTGTGTTTTGTTTTTGATCGTGATCGTGATCGTGATCGTGATCGTGATCGTGATCGTGCTGTGGGCCATGCTGGCGCCGAGGGGCTTTCACACGATGCTGTTCCCAGGCGGGTAGGACCACATTTGGCCTGTGCTCCACCGCCACTCCCGGCTAGGAGTGTCCAGTCGCCGCTGGCCACCTCGCCACGCACGCCGACGCGCGCTCCGACGTCTTCACCGAAGCCGACGCCATCTGCTTCAAGTGCTGGAGCTCTGGTGCCTGCTGCTGCTGGCGCTGCCGGAGCCACGGGCCCGCCCCTCCGCATGCTTACCTGCCGGTGGCGAGCAGTACAGCGACGCCGAGCCTGGCACCAGCTCGCAGTCCTCTCTGAGCACGGCGGACTCCGAGGACCTCGCCTACGCCCGCACCCACAGCATGGCAGCCAGCACCGTCACCGGCTCAGTCTACGTGGACTCGATGACGGACGTCAATTCCTCAGTCGTCCCACGTACCGCCTGGCCAACACCTTCGCGGCTGGACTTGCCCCCGTAAAGAGGCTGCCCGTTTGCCCAGGCGCAACGCCCCCAGATGCTGCCACGATGGCCGCTTTCGGTGTGCTTGATGCCAAGCCGCTTGATCGGGCTCATGCTTGTGATTGCGTTCGTCGGCCTGGAGTTCCTGGGTCTGCAATTGCTGATCGCGGCTTCCCTCGTGTTGCTGCCGACTCCCTCCGCGACTGCCGCGCCGCACCCGACATCTTTGTGGATGCGGAGCCCCAGGAAGCCGTGGAAGCTACTGGTCTTGTATCGTCTGGCGATCGCAGCGACGTCAAAATACCTCGTGCTAGCAGCTCGGACCGTGATCTGTCTGTCGAAGTGCGCCGTGAGCGCGGTGTAGAGCTGCCATCCAACTGGCCGCCTGTTCAGAACATAACCTTCGGCATCATCAGCATCATCACCATCATCACCATCATCAGCAGCATAGTCATGATCAAAATCAAGATCAATATCAGCATAACCAGAATCATCAGCATTGACATAAGCATCATCAGCATCATCAGCGTCATAAGCATCAGCAGCAGCATCATCATCAGCAGCATCATCAGCATCATCATAATCATCATCATCATCAGCCTCATCAGTATCCTCATCAGCAGCATCATCGTCATCATCACCATCATCATCATTATCATCATCATCATAATCATCATCAGCAGCAGCCGCATAAGCATCAGCATCAGCAGCAACAGCATCAGCATGAGCAGCGAAAATTGCTTCAGCATCATCAGCAACAGACTGGGCGTCAGCAGCGGCATCGTCATCACCAGTATTAGCATCATCATCATCATCAGCACCATCATCATCATCATCATAATCAGAATCACCAGCATCATCAGCATCATCAGCATCATAAGCATCGTCATCATAATCACCATCCTCATCCTCATCCTCATCCTCATCCACATCATCAGCAGCATCAGCAACATCTTCGTAAGCATCAGCAACAGCAGCATCATCATACTCATCATCAGCACCGTAGTCATGAGAATCATGATCATCATGATCATCATCTTCCCACCCCCCTCCACTCCTCCTGCTTTTCCTCCTCTTGCCTGTGCTCTTTCTCCTCCTCTTCATTTCTCATCCCTCCGTCCGCCTGCCTCTCTCTCCATCTTTCACCTCGCGTCCGTAGGGTGGACCGGGCGTTTCGCCGGGGACTTCCTTTGAAAGACACGATCTTGAACCGAAGTGAAAACAAACAATTACAAAGATGGAGGGCATGTCGTCTTCAAAATGCGGCTCTCACCTTAGCGCCGCGCACATCCGTCTCAAAAGCTCGCAACAATCACAGGATAAGCCTTCCGCGCATTCCATGGCGGGAACCTTTGAACTTGCACAACACTTACACGGGTGGAATGAAGCTCGATTTCAAAACTGGGCTGTCGCTTTGCAGTTCCTTGGACTTCATCGGGGTGGACCTTTTCTACCACAAGATCTCCCTTGAGTGGGGGGCCCACAGGGCGTTCGTCCTTCAAGTGTGTTGCTTCCCGCAGTGGAAAGGAAAACGAGTAGGAACTTAGTAGTAAGGAACTTGGGATGGGAGGATGTGCTGCTGCATCGTTGACGCATCCTAAACCTACTTGGGTCCTCATCATCGTCCTCCCCCTCCACCGCTACTCCTTATAGATAACGACCCCCTGTCGCACCCCCAAACGTTTCGCCGGGCCGGTTGTTTCGCTTGGGGCGGCCTTAAGCAATACTGCCCAGATAGCAAAAAACAAGGTGTCAATGTTAGCCAGCGCGAGACCCAAACAGTGTATCCAGCGATCGCCGTTGTGCAATATATGTGGTGCGATCTAGGTTGTGCAATCTATATTGTACAATCTACATGGTGCAATATACGTGGAACAATCTAAGTTGTGCTATATATGTTGTGCACTCTACAGAATGTAGTCTACGTGGTGCAGCTCATGCGGTGCAACCTATGCGGTTCAATAAATGCTGCGCAAGCCATGTGGTGCACTGGAAGTGGTGCAATCCACCCTGCCGAAGTTGAAGTTGTCAACTCCACTGATCGCGCAACCACCCCACCCAGCCACCCGCCAGTTGGTTTGCAAACCGATGCGGCGGCGATTGCGATGTCTGCTCGGCGTTGGTTGGCGCATCGCTGCGGCCGCACAAGCCCACGCATGTTCGCGCATGCAACGGCCATTCAGTTTGGCGCGAACGACGCGGCCGCGTTGGCGATGACCGCTGGGCACTTCCCAACGGGTACTTCGGTGCAACTCGGCGACTTCGGCGGGCGCGGTATCATGCAACGCCGACAACGGTAAACACAATGATGATGGTAGCGATGCTGGTAACGACGACGACAACAAAGACGGCAAGGCTAGTGACGGCGCCGATGCTGATCCCGCCGACGACGACAATGACGGCGTCCTCGCGTCAGTAATGAAGGCTTTGGAAGGAATTCGACATGCGTGCGCGGCCGACGCGCGAGAATGGCCCGCAGGGTGTTAGTTGACACGGACTGTGCCTCCCACCCAGCACGCCCGCAAGGGCGTTCGAATGGTTTCGACATGCGGCGCGAGGGGCCCGTTTGGCCGAATCGAATGGAAACGTTGAAACCCCTTGGTGTCCTCAAGAATTCGCAGGAGCGCGAGCGCAGGCTGCTTTAAAAACTGATGTTGCAAAACCATGTGTTTTTCCCAACCATCCTGTGGTGGTGGGTCCCCTTTTTGAAGAGACGGTGCCCGCGTTCCTCCTTCATTCCGTCCTTCATTCCTCCTCCCCTCCCCCCTGCACCGCCCGCATGCGTCACGCACGCGCATTTCGACACACCCCTCACACGTTTCGTGGCCCCACAGGGAGCTCCACCGAAGGCCTCAGTGCCACCGCCCGCATGCGTCACACACACACACACATTTCGACACACCCCGCACAAGCTTCGTGGTCCCACGGGGAGCTCCACCGAAGGCCCCAGTGCCACCGCCCGCATGCATTGTCAGGCCCGCCCATGTCGGCACACCCCTAACACGTTTCGTGGTCCCACAGGGAGCTTTACGGAAGGCCCCAGTGCCACCGCCCGCATGCGTCACGCACACCCACTTCGGCACACCACTCGCACGCTTCGTGACCCTAACACGCGCACCCATGTCGGCGCACCCCGCACAAGCTTCGTGGCCCCAAAGGGAGCTCAACCGAAGGCCCCAGCGCCACCGCCCGCATGCGTCACGCACACCCATTTCGGCACACCCCGCACAAGCTTCATGGCCCCACAGGGAGCTCCACCGAAGGCCTCAGTGCCACCGCCCGCATGCGTCACGCACACCCATTTCGGCACGACACTCGCACGCTTCTTGACCCAATAGCCACCTTTACCGAAGGCCCCAGTGCCAACGCCCGCATGCGTCACGCACACTCATTTCGGCACACCCCTCACACGCTTCGCGGCCCACAGGGAGCTCCACCGAAGGCCCCAGTGCCACCGCCCGCATGCGTCGTCACGCGCACTCATGTCGGCACACCCCTCACACGCTTCGTGGCCCCAAAGGGAGCTCCACCGACGGCCCCAGCGCCACCGCCCGCATGCGTCACGCACAC